GGCTGTGGGCGCAGCCTCCGCCGTGTTGCCATATACACTTATTATAAGCATCTATGGATTTGTTTTTTCAACTTATGTGACAATTTCAAGTAGATATAACTGCAGACCGGAGATCTCCAAAATGGGGCGTGAACTCCAAAAGTGGGTGGAACCTCCAAAATGGGGCGGGGTCTCCTCGCGCAAAGACTTTCACAATTGGCTCTGGCTCCTGCCAATTGTTATTGACTTACATTTCAAAATAAAACTTTATAAATTAAACATTGTTTCTAGTTGATCTAAAATAAAATATGCTATATAAATAAATATTCTCTGTGAGAGCAGAGCCCAAAGCTCGTGGCCAGTGGTGTTTGAACCTCTGCTTAATGATATAAAGGCGAATTAGCCATGAGCCGTCTCAGCACAGCACAGCGCAGGGGAAAGATTTTACTCTATCGCTTTGTTCCAAGCAACGGGGGCATCCCGGGGCACGAATTTCGCAGGGTAGGAGGGTGTAGTGACGCTGGGTGTAACTAAAAAGTTGCCATTGTCCCGTGAGGTCCGGTTGGGGAGTTACAGAACGATCTCATATCGCATAATCTTATTAACTGTTTATATCCTGAACGGCATCTTTCTTTACCATGCTATTCAGCGCCAATCCCGCGGTGCAGTCAATTTCACTGGTTAAAGTTAGGGTCAGGTGTGGGGTAGGTTTAGGGGTTAGCATTTTTTGTAGCACAGTGTAGGAAATCAACACTTTAATTGACACAACCAATAAAATCTTTAGAATCAGCTGTGGGGCGGAGTTTGCACTGAAGTGGATTGGGGGAAAAAATTGCGCATGCGTGTCATGTGCCTGTCTGTCAATGGGAGGAAGCCACGCCCTATTTTGGAGCTCCCACCCCGTTTTGGAGTTCCCGCCCCCATTTGGAGATCTCCAGGCTGCAGTTATACCCTTCTTTGGCCATTTTTCTACAGCAAGGGTTAACAGTGAATGGTTCATTTGTAAGCATCTCGTTTGATTAATTCTAATGAATTCCTATGTGTTGAATTTAATTAATAATATTGCTTGTAATCTGTTGACACAATTTTATTTAGTAAATATAGTGTATAATTTTTACAGTGCATTTACATTTGTAGGTGAATAATTTTCCATATATAATAATGAGTAAATTCATTATATACCAAATTTTGAAGTCAACAGTATGCTCATAAAAAAAAACCAAAAACATAATTTTCTTTGAGTAGTGATTCAATCTTAGTACTCTGTTTAACAACAAAAAAGCCAAATCACACCAAAATAATTTTGTATAAATACAATAAAAAAATAAATGGACAATACTCTCAGTTTCCTCTTTACAGAAAACACAATTCAAGTCAATGTCTTTACAAAACTTTGCAATTACCTGCTTTACAGGATAAACAAAATGAACAATCTTAAATTATATCTCTCTAATTTTATTTGTGATACAAAAACGTCTGGAGATCTTAAAGGTCTCTTTCCAGTTTCCAAAAACCAATGGCTAAAGGAACACTGGAAATTTCCGCCATTTGAATATGCCTGCACTAGACTGTAAGCAACAAAAATGCAAAAAAAACAAAACAAAAAAACATTCAGCTCATTGAGATTCTCTGCTGTTACTCGTCAGGCAGTGAGATGATTGACAGCAGGGTATTCACTATAATCCTGATTATTCCTCAATCTGACACTGTCAGGACAGTCCGCTTTCTTCTGGAAATGCACCACGGCGTAATTCAGATCCTCAGCAGATGTGATCCAGATCTGAGAGTCACCAGTGGCTTTCTGAACTGTAGCGTAAACACTGCTAGAAGAAACAGAGGGGTTTGTGGGTAACTGAGCAGTGGCATAAACAGTGTTGGATGAATTAGAGGGGTTTTTGGGTAATTGTTTGTGAGTATATTTAATCTCCTCATAATCGCAACCAGTGTGAGAAACCTGCAGAGAGACAGAGAAATAATTTACAGCTCTGAAGATTATCATTATGGAGGCATTAGAATTTATTCTCATTATGAATAAAAATCAACATAATGTTTTATACAGTAACTGGACGAACCACTTCATGTTTTCCTGCTCCAGTCTGAGATGATGAATCACTGTCTGATAAAACAAGAGTCTTAAATTAATGACATTATATCACATTTCAACACTGATGTATAATGGAAATGTTTTCACACATCATCAAATTTCTGTATTTTGTAGTTGTAGCCATTAGGTGGCGAAAGAATCATAGTGAAAAAAAAACAAATCCTCATTTTAAACTCAGTATGAATGGGAGTTTCTGTATCTAAAGGAGCTTTACCTCGAGACTGATGCTTCTTATAGAGAAATAGTAAAAAGAGACCAACGATGATCAGAACCAGAAGAACCAGAACGAGAGGAATGATCAGAGAAGAGCCTGAAAACACAGGAGAAACAATCAGATCAATCAATCTGATCACTCTGAGCTGAATATCAGATCATATGTTTATATTTTAGCACACAGGCACCTTTTAACATGTTAGGAGACTCTGATGTGAAGTTAGATGTGGATGTTTTGAAAACAGACGATGATGATGATGATGATGATGATGGTGGTGGTGTTGATGATGAAGGTAGTAATGATGATGTAGTTTTTGGAACATCTGTGTCTAAAACAATAACATGAAGAGATAAACTGTTTTTATTTAAACGCACAGATCTTGACATCACATGTTTCAGTAACGTGTCTGTTACTGATGTCATTCACACGTCCTCTGTCCTGAATTCATGTTTGCTGAAGCACACACACCCAGAAAACAAAACCATCAGCAAGCTGTTAATTTGAGTTTTAGAAACTTAGAGATAAGCACATGAGTAAAATAAGCACATAGTGAACAATACAAAACAGTACAAGTGAAAGACAGACACTATTTAAGTATTTTCATCTGCAAGCTTCCTTAACTGCAGTTTTAACTGTAGCACAAATGTGGTAAAGTAAACTCACAGCAATACTCAACACTGCACTTCTGCGGCACACGCAAATGACAATTAGTAATACTGAGGCCAAATGAGCACAATAAAAATGTATTTGCACAGTCAAGCAACATAGTACAGTGACCATGCTGAATGGAAGCTAGCTGTGATTATTAATTACATTCTGATTAATATCAGTGAGAAAGTCATCTGTACCTGTAACTCTGAGGAGGACTCGTGTGATGAAGCTCTTGTGTCCTTGATCAGACTGAACTCCACACCAGTATTCAGTTGAATGTTGTTGAGTCACATGACTGATGGTTCCCGTCAGGAGCTGCTGCTCTCTGTCATCATACAGCTGCATCTGTCCCTCAGAGCTCCATCTTCTGCTCTTCTTCACAGACGTCTCTTCAGCACAGAGATCAGATTCAGATCTCCTGCAGACAAACTTCACATCAGCACTGTGGGATTGTGGGTATTTGCAGATGATGTTCACAGATCCTCCTGCAGCAGCTGATAGACTGATGCTCTTCTCACAACAAGCAGCTGCTTGAGTCAAATCAAGTGCAGCAATGTTCACATTAAACAATAGATTCATGAGTTTTACCATATAAAGCAATGTATGCGTGAATTAAAATGGCTCACCCTTCTTAATGTCCAGGTAAAACTCCAAGAAGAAACTGTAGTCTTCAGAAACTGTAACTATAATCTTATATTTTCCAGAATCTTTCACATTCAGGTCTCTTATAAAAACATGTAAGAAACCTTCAGATCTGTCATCATAAACAGAGAATCGACTGCCATGTTTCCATTCTGCTGCTCTTTCAGTGTTTATTAGAGTAAAACACTGAAGTGCTTCAGTATTACAGACATCTATCAAAAGGTTATTTTGTTGCATCTCATATTTAAAGTTTATTATGATGTTTCCTTCTGAATATCCTGTCATCGTCCTGATTTGTTGACCTGTAAAACACAAATAATTTGTCAAAAGCACATACAAGTCAATGAACACATCTGGTCACTTTGATGCACCATTTATGAATGCAAGTCAACTTCGTGAATGTAAATCTTACATTGGGAGATTAAAAAAGCTATTGATGGCATCTTTTATAGGTTGCACATGTTATAACCACATCAATTGCAAAGTATTGTGATGTTGTGTAGATCATTGTGAGTTTGAGGGTTTCAGTTACCTGTTATAACTTTCAGATTCACTTCAGTGTAGGAATCTACTTTTGCATAAATATCAACTCCACACTGGTACGTCCCAGAATCCTCTTCACTCAGATCTCTGATGGTCACAGTGAAAACTGCTGCTCTTGTGTCGTCAAACAGAGAGAATCTTCCAGAGTCAACCCATTTATTTTTATTTTTATTCTTGATGAGTTCAGAGCATGTTACTGGCTGTCCTTTACAAAAATACTTTGCGTTTTCTCTAAATTCACTATAATATTTGCATGTGATGCTGACTCCTCCTCCTGAATATCCTGTCACACTGATGGAGTTCACCACACCTACAACAAACCAGCATCTTAATACAACACTGATATATTTATATGAGAATGAACAGAGATTAACTTTCAAACTGCTTTTAAAGTTTTTCAAATCCATTTCAACAACATGAGCTGAAGTGAAAGTCTCTGTGCTGTTTTTAGTGATTTTCTGTGAGTTCAGAGTCTTACCAGGAATCATCAGCAGAGTGAAAGTCCAGATGATCTTCATTCTTCTCTCTTATTCAGTGATCTTCTCTAACTGAAACTATATTTCACACACAATTCACATAAACTTGAAGAACTCAGACAAAACAGACACATGCAGATAGAACACATTATAAAATAATAATTCTGTTAAAATCTCTGTAAAAAAGGGGGGGTTCCGGTTGCATTGCAATGGTGTAAGACGTGCCTGACTCGAGCTCCCTTTTTATAAAGCAAATAAACGCCTTGTAACAAAACATTGTGTGAAATCTGTTTTGATTGCATTTCTAAAATAAGAAAATAGTTGATATGCGGGCCAATGGCAGAAAAACTACGCAAATATAAATGCGACGCATCATCTGGTACTAGGCCCAACGCCGCCTCGTCTTCGAGTTCCACCGTCACCCGATCACGAACGACCCCACCCCCGCTGGACGGTCCAGAGAAGATGGACGCAACAGCCTTTAAATCAGAGATTCTTCGCTCGGTAACAGCGGACATCTCGGAGGTGATTAAATCCGAACTGAAAGGTGTGCTTGCCGATGATTTCAGTTCCCTTAAAAATGAAATGCAAGCAGTTAAAATGGAAATAATAAATAATACGGCGGCGATTCACTCTGAGATAAACCAAATGAAGGCTATAATGATATTAATATTTTAATCATACAAATAATATATATATTTTTTTGGTTTACTTCTCATCAATACATTGAAGCTTTGTTTTAAGAGATATGAAGTACTTTTGCACCTATTTACCACAAAATTCCTCAACTACACCATTAGCTTGCATGTGAAATATTACATTTTCATGAAAAAAATCACTTAAATTATGATCTAACTTTGATTTAAGTTGTTTCTGGATATTGATCTACGTGTTATGTGTAATCTGCTGGTTAGAGAAAAACTTTTTCAAAGGTTAGAATTTGTTTTTGTTGTTTGAGGTATTTTGAAGTGCCAACTTTTGCAATAATGCCACATACATTTGCAGAAATGCCACACAAGTTGTCACTGAAACTTGATTGCAGGCACATATTTTTTTCAATCTAAAAAGCAAAATCAAAACTATTTTATTTTACTTAAATGTAAATAAAAACCACACCAAAAAACAACAACAAAAATAACTGCAATAAGCAGATATGAATGGTGTGTGTGTGAGAGAGAGATAGAGAGAGAGAGTGAGTGTGTGTGCACGTGTGTGTGTGTGTGTATGTACGTGAGTGAGTATGCCCGTTCAACATTGTATTTGTGCTCTAGTATCAGGCCTTCATTTTTGTGTGGACATTTTCAGATTTATGCAGGATTTATTGATTTTACTTGCCAAGTACTATAAAAATGCTCTCTGTTGCAGTCACATGTGTGTGCGTTTGTGTGTGTGTGCGCGCGTGTGCATGTGAGTGAGCATGTATTTTCTACATTGCATTTGTGCTCTAGTACCAGGCCTTCATTTTTGTGTAGAAATTTTCAGATTTATGCCAGATTTATTGATTTTTTTGACAAATGAAAAAATAATATATTGATTTTTTTTCGCATTTCCCATTCATTTCAATGTGAGGTCATATTGACCCCATAGACAAGATTTGTAAAAAAATAATAATACATACCTTCAGATCAACCGAATCAAGCCCAGTTTTTATATATTTTTTATTTTTTATGTGAATATAGACAGAAAATGTAGAAAAGTCACAAAATCTTCAGATCAGCACTGTGGGATTGTGGGTATTTGCAGCTGATGTTCACAGATCCTCCTGCAGCAGCTGATAGACTGATGCTCTTCTCACAACAATCAGCTGTTTCAGAGACAAATCAGGTTCACATTAAACAACAGATTCATCAGTTCACCACAGAAACAAATGCATGAGTGAATGAAAGCAGCTCACCATCTCTGATGTCCAGGTGAAACTCAGAGAAGAAACTGTAGTCTTCAGAAACTTTGACTGTAATCTTATATTCTCCAGAATCGTTCTCATTCAGTTCTCTGATAAACACACGTAAGAGACGAGCAGATCTGTCATCGTGAATGGAGAATCGACCGTCATGTGTCCATTCTGCTGCTCTGTTAGTGTTTATTAGAGTTAAACATTGATCTGCTCCAGTTTTACAGACGTCTATCAAAGAATTCTCTTCCAGCGTCTCATATTTGTAGTTTATAATGTTTCCTCCTTAATATCATCTCACCATCCTGTTTTGTTCATCTGTTAAATAATATAATTTTTCAATATAAACACATTTCTGGTCACTTTGCTGTAACATTTATGAATTCAGGTCAAGATTACTTAAAGGGATCATCGGATGCCCATTTTCCACAAGTTGATATGATTCTTTAGTGTCTTAATGAAAAGTCTGTAACGTAGTTTGGTTAAAATTTCTCAATGATAGTGTAAAAAACACCTTTTTTACCCTGTCAAAAA